TTTGATTAAAGCTGTAATTTTTGTTCAAAATTAAAAAATTTACTCAAAAAAGTATAATATCTAATTAAAACCGAAATTTTCGATATAAATTCAGTAACCGATTAAAGATGGAGTTTTTTGTGTAAGTTCATAACTAAAAAAATTTACTTGAAAATGTATAATATCTGATTAAAACTATAATTCTTATTCAGAATTAAAATATCTGCTCAAAAGGGTATAAAGTCCTATTAAAATTGAAATTTTCGGCGTAAATTTAAAACTGGAAAATTTGTTTGAAAAGTTTTGCCATGAGAAGAAAAGCTATTGCTGGTTATTTGGGCAATATCCATCCTAATTTTCAACCACAAGCTTGAAAAAGAACAGTCCTTAGATTATATCATACGTAACAAAGAAGAAGACTCTTAAAATGGCTAAACTCAAATCAAGAACTCAGAGTAAAAAGAAATTAATCAAATTAACCGAAACCCACAAAGAATCCGCTATGGGAGGCCCACGTCCCCTGTGTTCCACTCATTCTGAACAAGAAAACAGAGACTTACCCCGAAACAGGGACTAGCCATTGTATGATCATGTGATGTACCTTCATTATATTCGAGATCTTAGTTCATCTTCACATTACCCAACTTTAATTTCTCATTTTCATCTTAATTTTCATACAAAACTCGTCTTTTTATTGTAGTTCGTAAAGATCATACGAAACCACACCATTTCAAAACACATATTTACTTCATAATACTAACTAGATCTAGCAGCAACAAAGTTCTATATTTACAAAGGAAGTTCCTGGTGTTACATAAAACTAGAAAGCATTTTCTACATTTGGGTATTAAGCGCTGGCCTTCTTAGCCTTTTTAACAGTAGATGACCTGATAGATTTAGGCTGTTTGGGTTTTGCAGGAGTAGATTTCTTCTTAGCTCCAACTTTCTTTGCTGCCTTCTTTGTTGCCTCAGATTTCTTTGGCTTCGCATCTGGTGTTGATTTCGTTTCTGTTTTAGCTTTTGTAACCCTTGTAGCAGCTTTTTCCTTTTTGCCAGCCTCGGAGAGCTTGTAAGAAGCCTTGATCTTTATCAGTTTGCCTCTGGCAGCAGAGTTTTTAAGCTGAAGAGCCAAAATTTTCCTGAAATTCGCTGGAAGCACCGCCTTGTGCTTCTCTTCCATGTACTTGGCTATAGCGTACGGACTCGAACCACTCTTATCGTTCAAGGCGAGGAGCGCCTCCTTGATCATCTGCCAAGAAAAAAAATCCACCTTTTATTAAACAAAAAGAACCCCACGGATATAATCATAAACCCAAGATACAAACATTAAGAAAAAAGAAAATACCTGGAAATAAGGAGGATGTGCAGCGGCCTTTGGCTGTTTCGGTTTCTTCTCCTTCGGAACTTTCGGTTTCTTCTCCTTCGGCGCTCTCGGTTTCTTCTCCTTGACAGGCTTCTCGGCAGGCTTCTCCTCCTTGGCTGCTTCCGGTGGCTGCTCAGTTACCGGAACTTCAGGTTCAGCGGTGGCCATGATCGATCACAGTAAACCAAACAAAGTACCAGAGAAGAAGAGTCTAGATAAAGATTTTGCTTTGATATTCCATGGAAAATGGCACTCTGGGAATTTATAGCGACGTTGGATCTCTGTCAGACGGGAGTGGCAGTCTACGATTGGTTGGTTTAGAGGCACGGTGATTGCCAACGTGGAGGAAGAATTATCTGAAACGTACACGTGGAATATAATCAAAGCGTCACTTAGACGGGTATTTTTGGTGCTTTAAATGGGAGAGCATTTTTGGCTGCCGTGGATGGGCTTCGGTTTTTTTATTTTTCCTTAATACTCCCTAGAGAATAGAGGGTGTGTTTTTCTGAGTGATTTTGTGGCTTCATTTCTCGGGATTCCCTTCGATTTTTGCCATGTAATTTCCGTCAGATTGGAGCTAAAGAAGAGGTGATTATAATGTGATTTGAAGGAAGTTAAATGGTTGGCATTTAAGGGTGATATGAAGCTCCGAAAGAGAAACAGTTTACTTCACGATTTTCTCTGCCCTTTTCTCTTTTAAAAATGTTTCATTTTTCACTTCATTCTTATATACTACATTCTAATTCAAATCGAAATATCTTTGATTTGATTAATCTAGATTAATTCTTTTGATTTTAATATTAATCGATAAAAAAATCAAATTATTCGACTATCTTCATCAGTTTTTTTATTGTTTTGATTAATTTTCAATTTGAATCGGTCGTACATTATTAATATTAAAAAAAAACCTCAAAAATTTGTTCGGTGTATTTACTAAAAATAATCATAAAAAATCAACCTCAAAATTCATTAAAAAAATACGCAAAAATCAACAGTTATGACGTAGAAAGAAACAGTTAGAGCCAATATTGCCCGATTTAACTTGTATAATTACTATTAGCATTGACTAAATATTAAGCCAATGAGGCTAGTTACTTTGACAGGAAGGTGGCTTGTTTTGCAAAGCAGATTGAACCCACGGTTTTTGAATTTTTGTTGGACACTTTGATAAGGCTTAAAATTCTTGGAAGGATGGCGATCTGACAAGGAACAATCAAATAAACTGTTCCCAATTTGTCAAAACAGACATTTTGTGGCTGGATGACTCGAATTCCAGCACCAAGCCCTGTACGGGGTCACTGCACAAAATCTTATCCACCCAGGGAATCAAAAAACGTGTTTCGTATAATACAGTTCACATGTATCGTGATCACGTGACAGTCGAATTAAATTGTTTTCAATACCATCAAATCATATTATATATTCCATGAATGAAAAAAAATTAGTTGATATTAAATTCAATGGCTGTTAATTTTCCACAACAGATTAAGGATTTGTGTAAATATAATAAAAGAATAAATAAAATATATTTTTTTAAGTACAATAAACAACTAAATTCATCCAGTTCTCATTAAAACAAAATCAATAGGCAACAAGGTGAGACTAATTGAAACAAGCCAAAAAAAAAACATTAGCTGATGTCTATGAATGCATATCAAACAGAAAAGCTACCATCATCTCAGTACTGAATTCTTATGAAACACATCGACAACTCGAAAAAACATAGTTAATAGGCAACTGAGTACTGGAAGATCAACCAAGTCCAACAGTAAGAATCCACCAATGTAGAGAGAAAGATGACTTAATATCTAGTCAAAATCAAAGACAAAATCTGACAGAAATGCAATAGTTTAGCTCCTACCACAACTCCATAGTAGATAAAAATGGAACTCAAAAACTTTTAAAGACTGGATCAAAGATGATGAGAAGATAACAAAGGGAATATGCAAAAGAAAAATCAATGGTAAACTCAGGTGCTTTCCATGCTTTTCTTCTGCAATTTCTATAAAACTACTACCTCAATTTTATGCAATATGTGACAGGTTGCAATAAATTGTCCAAAGAGTACTATACCAATCCAGAAACAGTGTATGCAAAAATCTACTTTGACTATTGAAAAAAGAAAGAAAAATTAATGATCATAATAAAATTAAAAAAATGAGAAAAAGACTAGTTGGAAAATACCTAGATATACTAAACTGAAATACAAGAAGACTGAATGTACCCACCACAAAACATATACTAGATTCGATGGCAACATTCCAGTGGGACATAGATAACACAAAGAACTAGAACTATTTGCACTCCTATAGATTTCTATAGCTAAAATGTGCCTAAACATCTGAACCAAAAAGATGTTTATATTGATATTATCATCATCTTGCTTCCTTTCCACAAACTATTTGACCTCAAAAACAATGTCTATGCCATCCGAAACATCTCAAGTTCAAAAAGGTGTTCTACACATCCATAATGTCACTTAGGATGTAGGCAATAATATGAAAACCATTAAAAATTAAATGAATATGAGTAGGGAATAGCAAATTCTTACTATAGGTTTGACAAATCACTAGGATGGAAGGTAGTTACTTTTTGAATGAACAGATGTAACATGATAAATGATGCAATATACTCAACCCACTCGTTATTTTTTAACAGAGAAGAAATGATTCCAGAGGTTTCTCTCCTCAAAAGAAACAACCACCCATCACAAAAAGATCACCTCCATGGTCTGGACATACAGAACAACAGAGATCATACAGGACTTAGATCCAACAATTATCAAATATCCCTTAAAAATAAACAGAATATAAGTTATTTTCTCTATTTTTGGTTCAAGCTGGTAGCAGACTCCTAAGTTGCATTTATGATCCAATCCTCAATTCTAATCACCACTTAGAAATGCTAGAAACTTGAAAGCAATTCAACCGTCTAAAGTTCAAGCAGTGTGAACATCTAAACATCAACACTGCATTTACTTGCAAGCTAGCCAATATTATTTCCACATCAATAGCATCACTGATATAAAATATATGAAAGCTTTAGATATTTTTTAGAGCCACCAACCTGAATTGTCTCACCAGAAAATATAACAATTTCAATTTCAACCCAACAGAAACCAAAAATTTTTCCATTTGAGTAACAAAATATCAAAATTTCTCTGTAAAGATATTACGGAAGATCAACCTGTTTGACCATTTGTGCTCCTTTAACGTAAGGATCAAAATCAGAACAAGTTCTACCATATAGACCTTAAATAAGATGCACATACAATGTGACACATAATTTTAAGTATCTGAGAACAGCAGGGCATTTGCTGTATGATAGGCAGAACACAACCAGCCTTGACTTAATGGACAAAAGGATGACATCAACATCAAACTGTCACCATAAGTAAACATGTGCCAATCCCATCCGTTAAGAACTCCAAGAGAAGGATTATATTAATATGCTTCCTGTTTGAAATTTATACAAATTATACATCTTTCACATCCACGAAATCTTCAAGATGAAGACCACAAATTTTCTCAACATGTGCATCTCAAAGTTTAACTTCTGAACCTCCATAATTAGAATCATAAACTTAACATGAAATCTTCCACTTAAGAGATACTTTCCAATCAGAATCTTCACATATATGGAGAAATCAGACTATTGCTCACTAGTAGATATGTTTGATCCATTACCTCAACAATAAACATACCAGGAAGTCTATTTCCATATACTATTCAGTATGGTAAACTGTATCAGAAATCCTCAATCTCCATTGTACATAAATTGCACCAGTTTCTTTATTAAGTCCCTAAGAGACAACCTACGGTAGACACATCAAAGCTTTAGGTCTGTTTAAAATTAATAGAAAGAGATCTAAGGAAAAAAAGAGGTAGGAGCATAAGAAACACAGATAAAAAAACCCAAAAATAGAAACAAAATGAAAAGGCAGCTTCAACTGCATTTTTCAACAGTAAGCCTCTGTCCATCACCAATGTGCTGCATCTGCATTTCCAGGCCCACCAAGACACATTAAGCAAGAGCCTCTAAAACATTAACAAAATTCACTCTTAGATTTAAGAATATGATATTGTCAAGTGATTGAGATTACCGACAGTTCTTCAGCCCACTACTAGTAGCCGCCACCATAGGAACGATCAGCCCCACAGTATGGTGGATATGCACCATACTACAACACAATAAAATAACTGACCATCATGAAATGGTTAATTGAAAATTTAAATGCATTAATAGGGAGATTTGGTTGACTACTCACATCAGAACCATAATAATCATGGGAGTAGAGACCACTACCAGCTGCATGAGTGTCTAAAGCACATAGCCATATGAATGAGTAATGTGGCAAAACACATTAGTATAAGAGAAGCATGCATAAGAAACATTAGCGAAAATAAAAATACTTACCACGATGGCGGGTTTCATGAAATGGGACTTCTGGATACGGATGCTCCAATCGTGGACGGATTCTATGAGGCTCCATGTATTCAGGATCATGGTCCTAAGAGCACAGATAGTTTCAAACAAAAACAAATGCTAGGAGAGCAGCTAAATGTAGAAAGATAGCAATGTAAAGGGTAGGAAAAGTAACACTTACTGTCATATAAAACGGCCTCTTCATGCCATGTGCACGTTCATCGTAATAATAAGGATCATCATATTGCCTTCCACCATAAGGTCTGTCAAAGACACGTTCAGGGGAAAATGGTTGCCTCCTAAGTGGACCGTGCTCCCTCCATGCTCTGTCAGGGACATCATACCAAGACCTACTGAAATTATATCTTGAAGGGCCAACAGTTGGAGCATCTCTACTGGATCCATGATAAGCATCACCGAAAGAACCCCTTCTTTCTCCTGCTTTTGTGTAATAAAAAATTTTAAATTTTTAAACAGTAAAATGCAAGATCTATATTTGTATAAGTTGCAGCTACAGTTTATAGAAAGACGGTTAGATGTAGCAACAAATAAATTGATTTGAACCTTGACCCATTATATGCCTTCCATGGTACTCAGAATATCGATCGTCATAGTCATGCTCATTTGCACCCATTCTACTAGTTCGACCACGTTCATGTTGATAGAAATAGCGGCCATGTTGGAAACTTTTCGAGTTAAAGCGATGTCCAACTCGCCCAAAACCTCTCCCTGCAGCAAGATGTAATTAGCAAAAATACAGACATCAATAGATCTCTATTTCCAAAAGATAATTGATTACCAAATCTTGAAAATGAGCCATTGCTTCCACTTCCAATTCGAAATCCACCACACATTCCACCCTTTATAGCTTGTGTTTTAGGCATTGGATTTGATAGCCTTGCTCTGACTTTTGACTATGGGAACAAATAAGAACAAAAACCACTTAATACATCTTTCAATACTTCAAAAATATATTAAGACAGAGTCCAAAAATGAAAATGGAGGTGATGCACCTACAGACTTCCATAATAAGTCCTTTGCATGTTCTAGTGACGTTCTTGACAAGTTCAAGATATGTTCTAAACGGATTTTAGAGGATCATAATTCTTGAGCACTTGCATGCTTGACAAGTGGTGTGATCATGTTTATTCATTATTAGATACCTTTCCAGGGGTCCCCATTGTGTGTGCCTAGCATCTTAGCTAACTTGAGTGAGGCAATAAAGTTGTATATCTCAGTCAATCACAATCAAAGAATAAAAAGGAAACAACCAAATTTAAAACAACAGAAAAATGAGCAAAGCATGTTAGTGTAACAATACTAAATTCAAAAGAAAAAATTTTGTAGAGCAGGCCAGAACAAAGCACATTAACATAAAGCTATATACCTTTGAGTTCCCATCATCCAGCTGTGTCTTATTCACACCATCTACACAAGCTGTAGCAGCATTATGGGTAGAGAAATCAACAAATCCAAAATCCTTTCTCTTAGCAGTTGACATGTTCCGGGCCAATACAATTCGCACAATCTCCCCATAACCTTTGAGTTTTTCCCTCACACGGTCTTCATCCCAATGAGGAGGAAGTGAATCGAGAAATACAGTCTTCACTGTGGCCATTATCTCTGGATCAGGCTCACGTAAAGGTTCTGCAAAAGCTACTTTAGCAGTTCTTTCGGGGTGTCCAAAAACAACATCAGGCTTCTGAAGTCTTTTGTATGCAAGCATGGCATCAGTATGGCAAGAGAACTCTAAAAATGCAAAACCACGGCTCAACCCTTCATTTTGAACATCTGGGACAAGAGTAGTATTTTCAACACCTTCAATACCATATTCTTTAAGCTTTTGTTTGATCTGTCAAACCACAATACAGCAAGAGTAAGCAAAAAAATACAAGATAGTGAACATGCACTAAATATTGTTAAATACTCACAGCTTCCTTTGTCCATGTATTGCAAATATTGCCCAAAAACAATGTGTCATTGTCTTCACTAGGTGCTGTCCCACATCGCTTCCCACATATCTGTGAACAATGAGAAAGTTAAATTGAGACAATGAATGGAAAAAGCAAATACAATTAATTGATTCTTACCACAGGGTTCTTCATTTCTAGCAATGCATGCTTTGCATGCTCTTTATTTGCAAATTTCACAAACGCATATCCCTTGTTCTTGTTGGTTGTTGGATTCCTATGCAACCTGACTTCAACAACTTCACCAATTTTCTCAAAAACCTGTCTCAAATCCTCCTCAACAGCATCTCGATCCAATCCACCAACAAAAATCTCATGCTCTTTCTTAATTTTACGTTCTTTTGCAATGGCGGTTAGTTCTTTGCGCTCCTGTTCGAATGCCTCAGTTTCTTCAATAGGTTCCTCTACATCATCATCTGCAAGGTCTTCATCATCATGATCTCCAAAATCCACTCTGTCAGCGTACTCCTCCAACTCATCAATACCTCCATACCTATCCTGCTCCATCTGCACACATTCTCTATGCAACTCACCTTTGCTGCTTCCTTCTTCATTAAGGTCCAAAACCTTTGGCTCCTTACCACTAACTTGTTGTGACTGCTCTTTCATTACATACTCTTCACTTTCTTCCTCACAAGGTACATCCTCCTCCACTGTAGACTTTCCATAATCTTTTCCAACAGTTTCTTGCCCCTCCAAAATTTCTTTCATTTCAGCTTCATCAACGTTTACTCTTTCCGCTGGTTCTCCAACCTTTTCAAAAGCAAGTTCCGCTTTCTTTCCACACTCCAAATCCTTTTTTCCAGACCTCCTTGGTGATTCTACAACCTCCTTGGCTGTTTCCCCTAAATTCACTGTCTTCTTGGAGACAGCCTTTGCTTTTGCAGAAGCAGCTGTTTTCGGTCTCCCAGGTGTTCTCTTTGCTACTAATTTAGTGCCTGATGTAACTTTGGTCTCTGGTGTCAATTTAGTAGCTTCAGCTAATGGTTTAACTTCTTCAACTATTTCAAAATTTAAAAAAATAATAAAAAAAGAATTAACGGATGAATTTGATCAGAATCAACTAACAGACAGCGTAACGAACATATCACTGTTTAACTCTCTGTTTCCACTTACAAGAGTCCTCCATCATACCTGCTGATCGTTCAAGATTAGAATCAGAGCCATCGATAGTCACAGGTGACGTTTCATTATTCTTCATTTGCTTCGCTTTGGCTGTGGAGCCCTGCTTTGTCCCAGCCGTTTTCACAAACGTCGATTCCGCAGCAGCAGTAGCATCTGTTGAGTTGGATGGAGTTTTTGCAGCAGATTTCCTCGCCGACGGCGTCTTTCTCGTGGTCGTCAATTTGGCAGCATCTTGATTCCGAATTCTCATATTTTTACAATTCCGATACAACGAATTCGTTTTCCTTTTTTCCTAAATTGGCAATTGAAAGGCTAAATACACTTGAGCAGCGTAAGCCAAAAGCGGGAGAAACAATGGAACTTTTTTCAATGGATTTTGACGAACAACATGATCGATGAGAGACTCGAAGGCGGTGGAAATGAGCGGCAGAAAACGCTGTCGTTTAAACTGCAATGATTAACCAGGATTTCCTTTTCCGGGTTGTGTTGCCCCATTAACCCGACTCGCATGGAAACCGAATGTTACACGTGCGGACATTCGGTTGAAGTAGTTATAGAAGTGCACCTGCAGCAGACTTTCCACCCGGAAAAAAATAAAATAAAATTGAAGCTTCCAGCAATGGGTGCCTCTGAATCTGCCCTCTCAGGTTCGTCGCCGGTAAGTTCTCGATTTCTCCCGACATATTGCGAGCTCACGAGCTGGGCTCTGTTGAATTATTCTTAATTGATTAACATTGATTATTGGCATTGAAGACGCCGGCCGATCAAATCACCACCATTTCCCAGCGATCAGAAACGGTCGATCCCATTTTAGAGAAGCTTAAATCCCTCAAAATTGTAAGTTTTATTGTTTTTTTTTAATTCAAACCATTTCAAAGAGAAAAGGAAGAAATTTAAGTTTTTCTGTTTTTGGATTGTAGACGTCTCCTATACTGACGACACCGCCGACGGAGGGTAGCTTAACGGACATTTTAGTGAGAAAACCGTCGTCGTCTTCAGCTCAAGGTGAGCTTGACTCTTTTATGCTTGTTACAAAATTCTCCCTAATAAGCTCAGAAAATTGTTCAGAAAATTGTGAGATTATTGAATGTTTCATAAGTGAAAAAGAGATCTGCTCTCCCTTGCTATTGGAAATTTCATGACTTTTTGTTGCTTTCAAGACATATATCAGATTTACTGGTTGATAACCCCTGAAAGATGAAACCTTTTTGCTTGAATTGAAACTGATAGTCCTTGCTTTCAAATTAAAATGGCATCATGCTTCAACTTTTCTGAAAGAAATAGGGATTGTGCTATTTTTCCGTACCAGGGGCTTGAATCCTATATTTGAAGCGTTTAACTAACATTAAGGCTATGTTATTTACTGCTCGTTGGAGACTTTTGTCTGATGAATGTTATGGCTGGTGAGATCACAATATATCCTACCTTCATCAAAGCTTGTGTTTTGATTTTCTGGCTATAAAGATCATAAAGCAGCCAAGGAGCTAAGAGAAATTAGTAGACTAGCTTACCCTAGGGAGTGGTATCAGAGGAATCCATTAGATTCAATGGTATTTGTACAAGACAGTTCTGGTGCTGCTTCTTTATGAAACCATATACTGTTGATATTGTATAGCTAAAGAAGTATCCATTCCCAGTTTAAGTCTCATTAGCATACAAGCTTTCTTGTCTTTGCATTCATTATCAAACCTTCTATTCATTTGTTTGTCTATTTGCTTACTATCAGTTCAGAGACGAGAAGATGAATTAATGTTGGTGCATAGAATGCATATTACTGACAGAGAATCAAGGACACCCTATTGGTATAGCCTTGCATCTATCATAGTTATGCACCTATGAAATACTCTAGTTCCTATCACTGTGGAGTATAATGGAGGACCTAGGATAAGATTTGAAGAACTCTAGATTTCTGAGGAAGTACCCTTGCATAAATTAAAACTAGCTGAAGAGAACAAAATAAAAGTAAATAAATAGAGGAAGGAGGAAAACCCTTATCAGGCAATTGTGGTAATTTGGGCTATAACTGGTTAATATGATCATGAATATGCTCTTGAAGTGCCAATATATTCTATTCTTTTTCTGTTGTTGTCATAACTTTTTTAACTGGGAATAATCTAATTGAGATGCTCAATTCAAATTGTTTCTTTTGGACTATCAAAATAGCTACTGTGAATCCAAAGGTGTTGCTGGAGCTGTTCTCAATGTATCGTGACTGGCAGGAGGAGAAGGTTCAGAAGATTAGCAAGAAACAGGTTTGCCATCTCTGTTGTAAATTTTATGGCTGAGAATAGCTGTTGCAATGGCATGGGGTGGATTGGTTCTGCTGTAGGTCATTATGTGCTACATTTCAAATTCTTATTTTACATCCATCTGCAATTGAATTAAGATCCAAGTAGGAATTTTAATGCTAGAACTAGAATATACGCTAACATAGTCATTTGGCAAGGCAGGAAATGCATGTGATTGTTTTTGCTGTTATTTCAATTTTATAAGAATTAAGTATGGAGTGCATGGTCATTGGGACAAATTCATTGCAGGAAGAGATTGAAAACAAAATAGAAGTTGCAGATGCTTTGGCAGTTAAACTTTTTCAACGTTTTAATTACTCAGTATCAGCAATGAAGACAACTTCACAACATTTATCAGAAGGTAATTCAAGTTTTTTCTCGACTAATAGAACCAGGAAGTTTAATTGCTGGACTTCAGAATATTATGTTAATAGTGGTTCAGCTGTTCACCAACTTAAATGCAGTGTAGTCACGGTCACTCCAGCATTTATACTTCATATTTTCATATCATGTAACAGGAAAACAAATTGACTGTGGCTAACATTTTGCAGAGTCTGATGATTCCTCTTAAAAATCTCACTTAACCATATCTTGTATAATGCATGTAGTCCACACATTGCAAGTGGAGCTTGGGGAGCTTAAAGGAAGGTTAACTGAAGTCATCAGCAATTGCGACACACTGTGCAAGAGAATTGCTGCTGAGGGGCCAGAACCTCTTCGATCATCTATCAAGCCATTTGTAGTTGCCACTGCCAACTCAACAGTAAATCGTAGCTTATCTGCAGAGCAAAGGGTTGCAGATCAAAGTTCAACATCTGCAGAAGCCAAACTAGACTGACTCTTCTTATCTCATCTGTACATAGTTGACATATTCTTTAACCTTATTTCTTCATTGAGATTGATGTTTATTTTGTGCCTTATACAAACAGTGTACTAACATTTGGAGTGAGCAAAGTTTTGAATACAGATTAGAGAGGAATTTTTTGGATTAAATGTGACGGCAGTTGTTGTGGGTTTTGTTTCTTTAGATTGCCTATGAAATCAAGATTCCTCTAGGGGACTGCATGTTACCCCTGCCGACAGAATATAGTTGTGGAGAGAGGGACCAATTTTTAAACCTCTCTTTTTCAAAGTAATAATCAGGAAAAAGAAAAAGAGGTGATTCACATCACCAAATCAGTCATTCAAATCCTCATCAACAATTTAGCAGGGCAACAAGACATTTTGGTTTTCACAAGCTTATTTGGCCATGCATGTCCTTATCCCTCGACACATCACGTGATCTTCTGACCATGCAGACATAAGCGGCCTGGTTCTTGTGAATTAGCAAAATGCAATCTAGTGACACAAACACATCACAAGATAAAATTCTCATGTTCTGATCTTTGTACATACATCAACCACTTTACTTTCAAACCCAAGTGATGAGATCCAGATTCCAGCATTGCCAGGACAGAATTAACTGCAAATTTCAGGCTTTCCTTACTCAAAATGAAAATTCAGAGTTACATCCTTATGAACTTCCTGGATAAATGAATCAAACAACATAAAACTTTTAAAAAGAAAGGAAAAACTTAAATTAAATTAAACATCAAATAAATACCCTCTTCTTAAACCCAACTATATAAGCTCTAGAGAACCATCCAATCAGAAAATTTTTAAAGGCTATAAATTAAGGTTGTTGCTGGGCATCCATATAACCAGCATCAACCAACACTTTCTCTCTCTTAGCCAACTCAATATCTTCATCAACCATCATCTTCACCAATTGCTCAAACCCAACTCTTGGCTTCCAGCCAAGAACCTTCCTTGCCTTGCTTGAATCACCTTTCAAATTATCCACTTCAGCAGGTCTGAAATACCTCTTATCAATCACAACGTGATCTTTCCAATTCAACCCAACATACCCGAATGCCACTTCCAAAAATTCTTCCACCGTGTGCGACTCCTCCGTAGCCACCACGTAATCGTCTGGCTTCTCCTGTTGCAGCATCATCCACATGGCTTCCACATAATCCCCAGCAAAACCCCAATCCCTCGATGCTTGCAGATTCCCCAAAAACAACTTGCTTTGCAACCCAATCTTAATTCTCCCAACGGCCCGAGTAATTTTCCGGGTCACGAAATTCTCTCCTCTCCTCGGAGACTCGTGATTGAACAGAATTCCATTACAGGCGAAAAGCCCGTAAGCTTCCCTGTAATTCACAGTGTACCAATGCGCAGCGCATTTAGAAGCTGCGTATGGAGATCTGGGATGAAATGGGGTGTTTTCAGATTGCGGCGGAGGAGTGGATCCAAACATTTCCGACGATCCAGCTTGGTAATACTTTATATGGCTCCGACCCGTGGCGGCTATGTGGGATCTAACGGCTTCCAACAATCGGAGGGCTCCCGTGGCCACCACGTCCGCAGTATAATCAGGGATTTCAAAAGAGACTGCAACATGGGATTGCGCAGCCAGATTGTAAACCTCGTCGGGCCGGATAGTGTCGAGCCAGCGACGAAGCGAGGAAGCGTCGGTGAGGTCAGCGTAATGGAGCTTCATCCGAGCCTTGTGGGCGTTGTGCGGATCGATGTAGATGTGGTTAATACGCTGCGTATTGAAGTTGGAAGAACGGCGGATCAAGCCGTGGACTTCGTAGCCTTTGTTGAGGAGGAACTCGGTCAGGTACGAACCATCTTGACCCGTGATGCCAGTGATCAAAGCGACCTTCCGGTCAGCACTCACGTCGCCGTTAATGGCAGCAGATCCAGATCCGGATCCGGCTCTGGAAGTATCATTTTCAGCTGCCATTTTCTTTCCGAATCTGAGGGGAAAAAGGAAATTGACGGTGTATTCTAAAGAAGGAAAACAATGGAAGAAGACGCGCTTTCAGTGCTTTCAAGCGATTCTGGCTTTTATAGGTGTGAGGAAGTTGAAGGGCAGGGGACGACAGAGGGGGCTAAAATGGTCAATGAAAGGAAGTAAATATCATATGAGTTTACTATTTTGTCCTTAACAGGTGATCAGTGCGGTGCAATTTGATTGGTCGGAGTGTAGTGAATTGTCTGCTTGTACAGGAGGGGATTGACCTTTTACGCTAATCTAACTTGTTTTTCTCTGGACTTTTTGTGCTTGGATTACCGATGATGGAGGTCAATTAAAATTGGTAACAAGGAATTTATTTTATTGGTCCAAAAAATAAATAAAATTTGAGATATTAAAGAACTTATTGGACCATGTATAAAGTATATTTATTTAAAATAAAATAATTCATCGAATCCCTTGAATTCAATTATTTTGATTTAATTTTTTAGTTAACATTAAAGTAATATGTATGATTTATACGGTAATTTTTCATACATTGATTTTGATTATATTTGATATTTTACCATAGTTTGGTTGATTATGATTATTTTTAAAGAAAATTTTGATTTTTTTTAAGAGAAAAGGGTTTCAAATTTACATTCTTTATATAAAAGATAATTTACTAATTAATAAATCAAATACTTAAAATTTATTTGAATTGATTTTTAAAATTTTAAGATCAAACCAACCCTTTATCCACACAAATAGGATAATCTGTAACAAAGTAAAGAATTATATACAATTTTATTATTGTGAAAAAAACAAAACCCAAAAGCATATATTGATATTGTGATAATTTATGGAGAAAATTTGTTCATGATTCGATGATATTTCTTGTGATTTAATCAAAAATTCATACAAAAAATTAACTTATATATATTACAAAAACAAATATATATTTATTTATGTATTTTAAATTCATTTAACGTCAACAAAATCCCCAACGGACTCGAACTCTCTGCAGTTGAATCATGGTTTGGGCCACAGCAACAAAACCGGAAGGCAAATTTGGCCCAGGACCTAAGGCCTCGAACGGGTCTAACAAAAGATACAGGCAGATTTGGGCACCAGCCCAAAGCACATCTTTGTTCATGTAGCATCATTGAATTTTTCTTCCTTCTTAATATGTATATTAGAAATCATTGATTACATATATAATTGGACTCCTAAAGGGCACGAATGTAATAATCTTTAAAATTACAAATAATTTGTAAATTTTCGTGGAAAAGAAATGAAAATAGCAAATTATCAATTATTTAATTGAAATCGGGAAGTCTAATCTTAAGAAAATTTAATGAACATGATTAAGAGATAAAAGGGTTTCTTTATGTTATAAAATCCAACCTCAAACATAACAAAAAAATAATATTTTTTTTAATTTAAAAGTATCAAATTAAATTATTATTTTCATACAAAAGTGGACCAAAAGTTTTTAATTTGTTTTTTTGGCTCTTTAATCTTTTTTTTATAACTTTATATAATTATCTTTTAACCAATCGTCATGTAAAATTTTAAATTCATCACTTACAAAAAAATAAACATTGAATAATTTACCTCTACTAAAACAAATTATTATGTAATTTGATTTGAAAAATATTGGTAGCTGGTTTACCTCGATGGCATAACTTTATTGAAAATATCTTTAAATTCTGTTAATAATGTTTTTTTGTTGGCATTAGGTTCATTTGATTAATATTAATATAAATAAATATCGATTATAAGAAAATGTTAAGTTTCTAATTATTTTAAAGGTGACTTTCTATCATATATCTCCTAAAGATAATGGATCAAGATTTAAATACCTATTTTTTTTTTTTGGGAAAGAAATACCTAATTAATTACTAATCATGTAACCACTCTAGTACAATTCCAAAATTAATTATACTAAATATATTTATGATTTTTTGAACCTAAATTAAAGTTCAACTAGGAAATCATTCCTGTTATTAATGTTCTATCAATACTTCGTGTTTAATTTAGAAAATAAAATTAATTACAAATTCATGTAAAAAATTTTAAAAATAAAATACTAATCCATCTAAATGAAAATAATTAACGGAAATCCATTAAATTCGAATTTATTCAAAGCCGATTTTATTTGACATTGTTATTAATTGATTCAAAAAGATAATTTATTTGATTATTTTGATTAAATATTTCATATTTATGAAAAATTGATCATTGGTCATAAATTTTTAAAAAATAAATAAACTATTTAAATCAAAATAATGGATCGAAAATAAATCAATTTTTAATTATTTTTATTTTTAGAAACTTTTAAAAAAATAGAATAATTAAAATTTTTAGGGTTGAACGGATCAAACGCGGATAACCTTAACAACCGTACAAAGTAAAATCCAGCGCAGCAATTCTAGATTTTGACCCCATGGATATCGCGTTTTTATTAAATACTCGCTGTCACCTTCCCCTGTACGAGTAGGACGCGGACTCCCCCCTTTATAAAGTACAAAGCCTGGTCCTTTAGGGTTTTCTGCTCCCTATGATTTTCGCCTAGTCGCGTCTCAAGCTTTCAATTCTTCGAAAACGTGAAAAAAATCATGTAGAAAGAATTGCAAATTTCTTCTCTATCTCTAGGGTCTTGGATAATAGCTACTGGATCTTCAAATCTCTCATCGTCTTTTAGGGTTTCGAGGTTTGCTAATCGGATTAAGTTCTTAATCTGATTAAACTTTTCTTTTTTTTTTATTTTGCTGTTTTTCCCCATCTTCCCCCTTTCGGTTACCGGAAAAAAATTAAATTGGAGATAAAAAATTTTGAAGCGAAAAAGGAATCGACATTGATTTGAGATTTTATTGAAAAATATGAAGCGATCGAGGAAATCAAACAGGGTATCTTGGGCTCCAGGTGTTAATCTTTGTCAGGTATAGCCGCCATTATTATCTTCGATCAATCATTAGTGGTTTCATTGCCTTTTTCAACAGCTGCTTTTTTTGCCTTTTCCTTTATAAATAATTTCAGAAATTTTACGGGTGGTAACTCCTAATATCTGATAATATTATTAGTATTAATTTTACCTTTTTTATTAATAAAAATTGAAATCGAATTTTATATTGATCGTAACTGGAATTTCATCGAAAAGTTTGAGCTTTTAAGTATTCGATTTTGAAAATTACTGATTCAGTAATCCAGAGCTGCAATCAGTTCTCTAATTGTTTATTGATAATGTTGATTTTAAGTGATTATTTGAACGATAATGGTACTATGAAAAAAGGAAAATAAAAAAGAGAAAGAAGAAGAAGAAGAAGAATTAATGAATCCCAGAAAATAATTGTGATGAAATTTGTTAAGTGGAAAGAATTATTGAAGATATTGAAGTGATTCATTTGATAACTATAATTTTCCCAAGGGGCAATTGTAATAAATTATGTACGAAGTTTAATCTCCTAAAATATTTGTAATCAAAGAATCAAGAACATGGTATAATAATTAGTAAGGCATTAAAGTTGTAATCTAAAATTATCAAGAATGTCGGACAATAATATGCCTTTCGACATTAAGAACTGAATCGAAAGGAACTTATTAGTCTGAAATTGTTGGTTATTACATGATACTCTTTAAAAGTATGGTTATCATTCTAAGACCTTTGTCATAGGTAAGCAAAGCTTTGTCTAATGTATAAGTGAATATGCTGCCATTTGGTTCAAAAAAAAAAAAAGAATTTGCTGTTAATTCATACTTTAGGTAATTCAAGTTGGGAATTTTCAATTTAATGTTGGAATCTCACCACCAAAATCTGATCTATTCACGTTCTATGAATTTCTGACAGGAAAACATATATAAGAAATGCATAAACAGAGATATCAACCCTTCTTGATGAAGGGAGATAACTTTTCTTTAAACGAAAAAGGGGGAAACTTATTGTTTTGTATTCTCCCTTATTAATTAAATTGTTAAGCACATATTGTTTCATCAAAACTTTATCATAATGCTTATCTCGCTTGATTATTATGAATATCGAAATCTTAAAGCTGTTAGTCTTAAATTATTCTGACTGCAATGCTGAATATACCCAGTTATAAATGTTTCTGCTACTACTAAAGATAAACGACTGTAATATGCTAAATATTGAGTACAAAATGAAGTAGGAATGTATTCAAGGTTCAGGTAAAGTTGAGGTTTTGCTCCTAGGGCAAGTTGCTAGCAGTAATTGTGACCAGTGATTATAATTAGCCTAATGAGATTACAGTGTTAAACAACTTAATTTTTGCTTAGCAATAGACTTGAGTGTCTAGTTGCACACCAGCTTTGGATGTAGTATAAGGTAGATGCAATCTTTCTTTAAAATTTACATAGAAATGCACAGAATTTATGACATATTTCTAAGTTAAGTTGAGAGTGCTGGTTCTGTCACATTTCAGTGCATTTAGAATTGTCTGGCAGTTGCAACTTTGTTAGTTTCATTCTATGTCATTACCGTCTACGATTACTTAAAACAGGAAAATGGTATGGCTAGTTGATGTGATTTGACAAAACGTTCCATAAATAAATTTAGGCCTTGACGTTGTTGAATTTGTCTATTATAAAGATTGATATCTCATCCAGAAGAATGGTGATTACCGTGAATATCTAATGATGCTTATGTTCTTTCCTTTTATATGGTCATGTCATAAAGAGCTACTGGATTTTGGTTTTTGGGGATAACGTTATCTGAAAGATCCTGTCGTAATAAAATTTATTAGGGTAGTTAATTTCTTTATCATTGGTAAGTGGAAAATTTCAAGTTTTGAGTATGTATTTGCCTGGAAACTATAAATTCCTTGAGATATTGTTATGTTGTGTTCGGGTGAGGTCTTCAGTTATGCTAGCATGTCTTGAATCTTCAAGTCCTTAAGCCTTTTCTTCCCTGTTTCCCATCTTTCTTAGGGATCACTAGAGCTCATGCCATGAAGGTTGTTTATGTACACAATCAGACGATTTAATAATTATTAACCTGCTAAAGTGGACTAATATTGTCTCAGGTGAAGCTGTTTCTGACAGAGGATTGCCCTTCAAAAGTTGGTGAACTTCAAGATACTCTTCA